ACTGGCCTGAACTGACAAAGTAGTGCAGATGACTCATGCATTGGAAACGGTTGAAAATGCTCTTTTTAATTGATTTGGGACCTCTCACTATGGAAACAGCTGGTTATCACACTGTGAAACCCACGCTGATTAAAGCTTTCTCCCCCAGCTATCTGCATGGCTCTGTATCGGCACTCCAGTAAAAGAGACAAGGTTTGCTCTAACAATTTTTGAAGGCTCCAAAACCTTCTGTTGACTTCTTGTAGTTATTGATCGGCTCATGGGATCCAATAATTCCCATGCCCTTACCCCAGAACCAGGCACATGCTAATCACTTTGGAGTTACTCGTGAAGCAAGATACTATGCAGTCTAAATATTGAGCAGACAGAGGTCATCACAGGCCATAGTGAAGACCGACTATCTTCAGCTCACTTAAGGCAAATAACAAATAAGCATGTTCCTTGGCATCTGTAGGAAACCACAATCAGGAGGAAAACACTTAAGACTCATTCAGAAAATATAGCAGCGACATGGACAAAGAAACAAGCAGAAATTGCATCGCCCTCCTAATTAAGAGCATTTGTCTACCACTTAATTCAAGAATAGCTTATACATTCACTGTTCTTTGCAGGAAAGGAAATTGGATACAATTCTGGATACATCCATTTACACAGACTGTAACAACATACTTTCTTACTAAGTTGCAGATACTGCTACTGTGCAGCCGTTGACAAAGTACTACAAACCCAGAAATATTCATGACAGCAAGATAAGCTGGTCAGTTAGCCATTTTAACCAGTTTGGGGGAAAAAAAAGCACAAGTTCTTTATTATAAGCAACATTTTCTTTTTTCAGAAACTATCCTTGAGTGATATGCCAACTTTTTTTTAACATCTTATAAAAATAAACTGTTAGAAGTAGCCAGAGCTCAGCATGGGGGGGGACATGTGTTAATTTATACTACAAAAATATCTAGCATGGCCATTAACCTTTTCCATTGTTTCCATTTCACCTTCCTGACAATATTTTGCAATGAGCATTAAATATGCCAGTCTAGCAATGAAACTTAAGTCCAGCATCTTTTAAAACAAGCTGCTAGTCAGAAAAAGTAATTTGTAAGTAGGAAAAGAAGTATTAAAGAAGCTGACTGTTCTTCCCCCAAGATACACTCAGGAGCACAAATGCACCTTACTGTTTCAGTGGGGCCTCAGAAATATTAATGTAAACTGATTTTAGACCATTTTTGTCTGAGGTTAAAATATATATGTATAAATACTGTTAATACCCTTCCATTCCCCAAAGCAGTAACCTAAAAAATACATTTGCAGTGGAACAACTCTCCTTGCATCTTATTTTATATGCAATTCTCTGTAAGAGAAAGAAAGAGGACTTACCAGTTTAATATCAATATTTGTGGCACTGGCATCCAAGGAATTTTCTATCAGCTCTTTCACCACACTGACAACTGATGTAATCACCTGAGAACTTGAAAGGAGACGAATAGTTTCTGCCGACAGCTGTTTCATAGTGGAATTAAGAGTCAGAGAAGCTGCGTAGAAAGATAACAGAAAAAGAATGTAAAAGGCACATTACAAATACAAATTTCTAAGCAATTGTTTTACAGCAACTTTTAAATGTAGGTGAAACATAACATTACAGCTAAAGAGTACAATTTTCAAGATACAGTTGGACCCAGCTTCCTCTGCAGTCAATGGGAGTTTGACTTGTGGAAAAAACAGAACACAGAGGTCTAGACTAGAAAACATTATTTTAAGCAGCTCAAACTTCCAATGAAAAAAATTAAGAATTCAGAGATATATTGATCAAAACAGCATCTCACATGTATATAGTCATGTCCTGTAAATTACTATAACATGTGGTTGTGATCTTGCAGTTATAACAGTAAACAGACCAGATTGTAACCCAGAGAGCTAGTCAGAAATGTCTTCAGATAGGACATTTATCCAGCATCAGGTCTAATTCCAGCACAAATGCAAAAAAAATGGAAATTTTTACTATTTTATTAATTTTTGAAATTTTTGTTGTTGTTGTTTTACAAACTCCTTGTATCAAAAATATCTGCGTTTAGCACTGCTGTGTTGCCTCGACAATTCCCAGGACCCAAAAAGTCATGGAAGCGATACAACCTGAAGGTAACTGTGTTGGAGTTGGGAAAGAAGTGGGGACGGAGCATTGTGGTGGTAATGCAAAAGTTATATTCGATGGCAATGTGATCTACTGGCAATAATGAGAAAAAAAAAAGAAATAACTTCTGAATTACAACCTTTCCTTTCTGATCAGACTTACTGCATGCCCTCAGACAGGTGACTATTTCTGCGTCTCTGTATCTCCCACTAGAAAACAGAGATGCCTCATATTATAATAAGCAAATGGAGATTTATTTTGGTTTGTCACTGAAAACACTTACAAAGATCCTGCTGTGTTACCGAGACACTCTAGCATGAAGAGATTGTAAGTGGATCTTCAAATTTTTGCATGCATTGCTGCTTAACTACCCAAGTAGATGTGATTAACCAAGCTCCGGGAAAAATCTTCACTGATCCTTGTAGCATGACACAAGGAACTCAACCACAGTTTTTCATGCTCTCATATGAGAAGAGGTGGAGAAAGACCGGTGCTAGACAGCTCTTTGCACCTCAAGAATGGTTCAGACTTGGGTTCCTCTGTCCTACAAGGAATGTGTCTTCTCTCTGCAGAAGCACTCTTTACTGGGTTATGTTACATAACGTTATTTACATTGAGAGGCAAACAATCAGGGCAGTCCTCCCCATCAATTCAGTCCAAGCTATCTGCTGGAGAACACAGACTGCACACTCAGCACCCATCCCAAGGATATGAGCACGTGCAGAGGAATGGAGCAAACCCAGATTTCCTCCTGCCACAGTCAGGACACAGGGAGGGATGGCAGCCAATGCCCCAGGGCACCACCATCCTGCAGGCTATGTGCAGCTGATGCAACAATTACAGGACACTTCTCAGCCTCAATATCCTTCTAAAGTCTGCCACTCTTTAAGCATAAAAGACAAAGCAAAAAGAGGGTTACTTGGGGGAAAAAAAAGGCAGTGTTCTAAAGAGGAAGCAACATTAAAACTTTTCTAAGAACAGCTACAAAGAGGTTTTCCAAAGGGAGTTTGCCCTTCAGATGTGGTAAAAAGATCTGACAAATCAGTTTTCCATCAAGCAAACTGGGAAAGAAGAGGAGTGGTAGAAGATGTGTTGTTGAAGACAGACCAGTATTAATCATGCACATGCATTCAGGGAGGCAGGTTTCCTCACACATTCACATGTTAAACAGGACTCCCATGTCAAGTGCTTCATGATTTACTAGTGACAAGTGCCAGACTGGAGCTGGATACCTTTATAAGAAGACACTGACTGAGACAAGGGAGGGTCTTAAAAACGTTGCAGATCCCAAGGACGAATTTTCAATGAGGTGTGGCAGATGCAGGTGGTTTGGGAGAGGAACCAGCTCCCAGTGTGCCCTCCCCTGGACCCAAACCACCCCAGTCAGAGACAGCTGTTTGCTGGATGGCAGAGGGAGGATGCCATGTGTGGTCACGAAGCCAGGCTGGCCACATCTCAGGGGCACCTGCTGGGAGGGAGGAATCTCTGGTCCTCGCTACCTGTGGAAACGCATCCAACCCCTGATTACTTTTAGCTAAAAGGTAGGTATTTCAGCTCAAACCACATTACTGCTGTAACTCTTTGCTGACCAGACATACTACAATCAGTGCTCAGTGGGAAGGCATAGTATTTTCTGTGTTTGAGCACCATCACCAATGTAGCCTTTCTACCCCTCTAAACAAAGTCAGACACCCCAGCAACGGGAGGCTCTCTAAATAGCTGCAATACTGCACACCATCAGGTAAACTGCAAACAAAAGCTCCTTGAACTTCATAGCTGCAGCCTTCGCCGGTTTCCTCAGCAGCACCCAAACCCCACTCCAACAGCCACCCTTCTTAGGAGCCCACTTCTCAGGTAATTCTCCAGATTATGACAAAAAAAAACCCAACCAAAAAACAAACAAACAAACAAAACCCCAAAAAACAACGCAGGAAAGCTGCAGATAAAAATCTGCGGTCACCCTGAGTTCACCTAAAAAACCACACGAACGGCCCCCAGTTCCCGGTTCTGCTTTTCGTGAAGAAAAGCACGGGGTGCCGCGCCGAAACAAGGCCGGCAGCAGCTCC